TATTAGAAAAAAAAAAAAAAAATTCACAAAGTTATGAGCAGTCAAAGTGGAAGTTCCCAAAAAAAGAGGATGTCCTGGCGTACATGATTCCAACCTCCTGGTGATTTGAAACATAAAAAATAGATGGATTCTTAATTATAATAGATTGCCGCTATCGTATGAACCTTGGATAAGTTAAAAAAATTGTTTTTGTTTGAATGCGCGGCAGTTTGAAAAAAAAATTATTTTTTTTCATGTTTTTTTTTAACAATTCCGAATTTTTTAAAAATACTAAATGAAAAGTTATAGTTTTGGGAAAGGTCTATGCGTTAAAGCGATGTATAGAGAAGATCCTCTCCAAATTTGAAGTAAATCGGTTCATTAGAACTCGAGAATTCCTTACCGCCAGCTCGAAAAAAGAGTTCCGAGAGAAAACGCGTTCAAAGTTTTGAGACTCGGTCGGACCCGAACCGAGGCCACGTCACTAAACGGATATAACTCAGGAAATAATAGTAATTTTGAAAAATCCTTTTAATGACATATTTTTGAATAACTAAACTTTGAAAATATGAAAAAAAAAATTTTTCGATTTTTTCAAAATTCTACAGTAGAATACCCCCTTAATGGTCCAACACAGATATCTCGTAAACAAATAAAATCAGATTTTTTTTAACAAAAATATTTTATAGTAGAGGGCAAAAAATGTATAAATTCATAACCAGCCATCACCTTTATTCTTATGACTTTGCTATCAGAAGATAAGCAGCACATGAGTGGGATAAAAAGGACCAGCAGAACCTTTACATTGGCAAAGGTGTAAGCAATATGATAGTAAAGTTTAAAAAAAGCAATTTTACAAGAGATTATTTAAATAAATTGTTATTCCGGCTCGTCTGATGAATACTTCTGACCAATAGCAGATCAATGTGATATACTGTGCTATCTTTGTAACAAATGTACCCACAGAATTAATATTTTGCATTGCTTCAATAATGTAGCGTAAAATCTCTTTAAAATTTAATAGAAGAAATTGCATCTGTTTGCTCCTGGTTGTCCCACTTTACCCCGTATGTGAGGTAAAATGGATCAGATACCAAATTTAAAAAAATCGTAAAAAAATAATATTTATATAATTAGGAATTATGTGAATTTTTTTCTATACATAGTTCGATAAATGCTTGTTCGATGTGTGTTATGTGTTGCAAGGATGTTCATTGGGTTTAGACAGTATAATTACTGAAAGTCAAATTGGACCTTTGTGCCCCGCTCTATACCCTGTCAATTTTATTTTACATTAAATTTTAATATGTGTCATTTTTATTTTTAATTAAAATGCACGTATAGGCTTTTCTTTTAAATTATTGAAACATGTAACATATTTACATATTAAAAAGTTTTTCTTCAGTATGTTGACCGGTTAGTATGACGAGATTTCGGCGTCCCTTCGATATCATACTAAGCGGATTCTACTGTAGATGCAATAGTAAAATTATATTAAGAACGATTTTAATTTTTTTGTTTTTGTATTTTAGGTTCTATAAGAACAGCAGATACAAATTCGGATTCCTTACATTCCCTTTCGAGTGACTCAGAAACTTGCAGCTGTCCAGCTACGAGTAACGGTGAATATTAAATTTTTATTTAATTCAGAAACTTTGAAATAAATTCTAAACTAGTGTAAAGTAAATTTTAAATTGCTGGAACTCCCCGTACCGTAATGAAATATTCGAGAAATATTAATTGCTGTAACTTATATATGTTTACATGAAAAGTAAAGAACAGAACTTAAAAAATCGGAGTTAGAATGAAAGACCTTATCTTATATTTCTAAGAATTATATAAACTGAATTGTTAAGTTAAAATTATCTATTTAAAGTATATAATTGAGCTTTAGAGCATTAGCTAGAATTAAAATCCGAATTTTTTGCTATTCAAATAAAATATTTCTTGGAAATTAAAAAAAAATTGAAAATTTTTTTTCCCAAAAGTAATCGTTTTGTCAACATAAGCAGAATTATTTAAATCGCATGTTTAGTTTTCTCGAAAACTACCATTTTTGCACATTTAGCTCGGGTTCTCCGAAACGGTCGGACCTGCCTTTGCCAAAAACTTAACAAGAAAATAAAACAAGCATAAATTGAAAAATTAAATGAATTGGATACTGTTGAACTAAAAAAAGAATATTTTTGACAATTTTTCTTCTAAAAAAATCGTTGATTAAACTAATACATAAAAGTACCTTTGATCGAACCAGTGCAAATATAAAAAATTAAATTCTATGTATATATTTTATTTGGTCAGCAGTATCCAATAAAATTGATTAACAAAAATTCCATTAATTATAAACTAATTAAAAATAATTGCCATATATAAACCAAAAGTCTGCAAAATGATATGTAAATTTGCATTCGCATTCGAAGTGATTTGTATTGTGTGAATAATACTATTAAGTGGTAAAATATTATATAATTACTAACAAAAATAATTTACATTGTAATTTGTGATTATTTTGGCAAAAGAAATCTGCAGAAGAGTTCAAACAGAAAATTCATATATATTCAGTGTATATATTTATTATAAATATGTTGTAACTCTTAAACGGTTAATGAAATATTTGGCAAATTTGTACAAAATTAAATTGTTTATAAAATTGTCTAACATTATAAAGCCTTGCCGCAACTCATGTACTTTTAAAATCGACCCTAACATAGATATTGCAAAAAGCACATGAAAATGTATTTGCTCGTTAATGTTTGTCTTGTAACTTTTATACGTTTGTTTGATTCTTAGTGAAATATTTGGCAAATTTGTACAAAATTAAATTGTTTATAAAATTGTCTAACATTGTAAAGGCCTACAGCAACTCGGTATAATATAAAATCAACCCTTAACATAGATATTGCAACAAAGGGCTTGAAAATGTATTTGCTTGTGAATTGATAACGTGTTAATGTTTGTCTTGTAACTTTAATACCTTTCGTTTGATCCAAGTGAAAAATTTGGCAAATTTGTACAGAATTAAATTGTTTATAATATTGTCTAACATTGAAAAACACTACAGCAACTCGGTATACTTTAAAATCGACCCTTAACATAGATATTGCAACAAAGGGCTTGAAAATGTATTTTCTCGTGAATTGATAATGCGTTTTTGTTTGTCTTGTAATTTTAATAATAATTTGTACAAAATTAAATTGTTTATAATATTGTCTAACATTATAAAGCCGTACAGCAACTCGGTATGCTTTAAAATCGACCCTAAACTTAGATATTGCAACAAGGCGCATGAAAATGTATTTTCTTGTCAATTGATAATGCGTTTTTGTTTGTCTTGTAACTTTTATACCGTTTGTTTGATTCAAGTGAAATATTTGGCAAATTTGTACAGAATTAATTTGTTTATTTAAAATCGACCCTAAACATAGATATTCCATTCATTTTTTCTGAGGTGTGCTAAAATGCTGTGAAACCGAAGACATGCAAAAATTTTCAATTTCGATTTTTAAATAAGACATTAAAGTCTTGATTAACAAAAATAAATTGTAAAAAAAAAAAAAAAAATCGATTTTTGGACATTTACAATAACTCTACGGGAAGTTAAAAAATTATATCTATTTTTAAAAATATAGTTTGATAAGTGAATTTAAGCATTTAATAATTGATCTTAGATTTTTCTTTATTTTAGTCAACTTGAAATCGGCAGGGCGTGGATACAGACATCATGGTAAGGAAAATATCTATTATGTACTAAAATAATGTAAATTTTGTTTTTTATATTCATATTCAATTTCATTTCCAGTTTCCACCTTAAACACAGGAGGTTCCAAAAGCCTTTGCAGCATCACGGATAGTCCTTCAGACACCAAACGCAACCCAGAAACCATTTCCAGAAGCCACTTTTCCAAAAGACAACCTGAAACTAAACGACCAGCCTTGGAGCTTCTCAAAAGTCCAGGCGATTCCAAAAATACCAAAATTTCCAACGATGATAAATCAGCAGGAGTGACTCGTAATGCTGCCAGTGCTGGTGGTAAGAAGTATTTGGACTTTGGATCGTCCAAGAGTGAATCCGGTCCTGTTTTTGAACCAGGATGTGGATCAGTGAAGAGCTATGTGAGGTCCTTGAACAGATCCTGTGAGAATTTGACTCGGGTCAACGATTTGACCACTGTTCGAGGAAATTTGGACACGGTGAGGGAATTGAGGAGAACTAATACCAAGTGAGATAGAAAATATTGATTAAATAAATTGTTTTCGACAAAAAAAATTATAAGTGCTGGATTTTTTTCAGGTCTGTCGATCAACAAACAGTATTACAACAAACCATACAGTATTTACGGCCAACTTTAGAAGCCGAGATGCAAACTCTTTCGTCTTCGGGGAAGGAAAATTTTAAAATTCATAGGTGAGTCGAAGAAATTTGTCTAAATATGCTGAATTCTAAATGTTTCTATTGTCCCTTTAGGTCTGATAAAGTGAATCATCTATCAATAGCATCAAGTCTTCAAAATTCACCAAAAAAACAGAACTTCTTAACGGATTTCAACTCCTCGAGCACCACAAAAAGTGTATCAGAACCTTGCTCGAAAGTGAGCTCACCAGAAAGAGGAAGGAGTGCTGCTTCAGCAGACGAGGATTGTGATAGTTCGAGTGATATTGATAAACAAATCTTATCCGGGAGCCCCGTGCACCCTCAACAAGGAATCATACAGGTAATAATATAAAAATATGATAAAGCAGGCATTTTTGATATTGAAAGAGTTTTTGTCATTATGTGAATTTAGAGCATTTTTGTACATTTTGTTAAACGTATTAAAATTTTTGTTCTAGACACTTTAAGTTATTTGCATTATTGAAAACAAGATAAAATTTACTAGAATTTGTTATAATTTGTTGTATACACTTGGATAACAAAATTTTGAATAAGTTGTAGTTGAAATACGGACTTATATTTAGTATTCTTATAATTTGCAATACATGGATTAGGTACATTTTTTTACTTTTCTTCAAATATCTTTTAATTTTCATTCCGGACATTATAATTTGCTTACGTTACTAAAAACTAGATGAAATTTACAAACATTTAGTAAAAATTTTATGTTTTCTCGACGTTTCAAGCCATTCTGAATCTAATGAGACCAAATTTGGAAAAAGTATGTGTGTGTGTGAACAGATTTTTTGCCGTAAATCGACGTTTTCTCAAAAATGGCTGGACCGATTTCAAACATTTAAAAGCCATTCGATGTATCTCGATGAGGACTAGCGTTTATCAAATTTGCCCGACTATCAGCAAAGCCGTTTCTTTGTAAATAGCAGAAAAGTGAAAAAAATTTTGTCCACGTTTTAGCCCGCAGTTATGAATCGATCTTGAAAATAAAAAACCGTTCGAAAGATATTGATTGGGAATCGTGCTGATTAGTTGTTGGTAGAGATCGGCCGGGCCGTTTTCTTGTAATAAAGTGTTAAAAAAATTTTTGTCGACGATTTTCATTATTATTTTTTTGACGGTAGATACCATAGTCTTCTAGATCATACTAAAATATTACGGCCCTACGATAATTGGTTTAACTTTGAAAATTCGTCAAAGTTTGCAAAAATTGGTATCGTCTTTTTGGCATTTGTCAAAATTAGACCTTTCATTGACGTTTTCTCAAAAACGCCTGAACCGATTTCAGAAATTTAAAAGCCATTTGATGTATTTCGATGAGGACTATCGTTTGTCAGTTTTGTGCGACGATCTGCCAAGCCCTTTCTTTGTAATTTGAAATTAATTTATTAATTTCAATAATTAATTTGGAAAAAAGTGTTAAGCCTTTCGTCCACATTTAATGTCATCCTACCGAACCAATTTTAATAAATCAAAAACTGTTCGAAAGATATTAGTTGGGAATGACACTGATTAGTTTCAGGTGAAAATGTACCAAGCCGTTTTCTTGTAATTAACTGTTGAAAAAAAAAGCTGATTTTTATGGATTTTTTTTAGCGATATGTATCATGGTCTTATAGAACTTACTAAAATATAAGGTTGTCAAATATCTCCCTTCCGCCTTTTTGTATTATAAACCAAGAGCAAAAAAGCGGAAGGGAGATATTTGACAACCTAATATTACGGCTTTACGACAAGTAGTTTACTTCTTAAATTTATCAAAGTTAGAGAAAATGAGTAGTTTTTTTGACGTTAGCTAAAATTAAAATTAAACGATTTACTTGGTATAACGATATAGTACTTGGTCTTAATAAACATACTAAACTATCAAAATCCTACGGAAACTGGTTCAAAATATATTAATTGTTGATTTTTGAAAAGTTGCTTTTTGAAAATACTCCGAGTTAACGGAGTAATTCTCTCGGAATACTTCTAATCACTCATAAATTAATTTGTTTATTATTCATTAGGTCGATTATTTAAACATATCGGGAAGTTCATGTAACTTGCCTCAAGGCTAAATACCAAACCAACTAGTTTCTTTTAAATTTCATCCACGTAGAAGGCCGGAATCACTGCAGTAATAAAGGAGCTTTTTTTCGCGCCGTTGGAGATCGACGATAACTTAAAAACTATTTAATTTTTTTCTTCAAAAATTTTACTATGTATTCTTAAAACATTTGTAAATATATTCCTAAAATTTTGAAATGATTGATAAAGTAGTATTTTTAATATAAATTTCCAAAAATCACCTTTCTTTTAGGCGGTTACACTAGTTGTGCCCTTTAAGGGGGTATTCTACTGTAGAATTTTGAAAAAATCAAAAAAATTTTTTCTTCATATTTTCAAAGTTTAGTTATTCAAAAATATGTCATTGAAAGGATTTTTCGAAATTACTATTATTTTCTGAGTAATATCCGTTTTAGTGACGTGGCTTCGGTTCGGGTCCGACCGAGTCTCAAAACTTTAAACGCGTTTTTCTCGGAACTGCTTTTTTCGAGCTGGCGGTAAGGATATCTCGAGTTCTAATGAACCGATTTACTTCAAATTTGAAGAGGATCTTCTCTATACATCGCTTTATCGCATGGACCTTTCTCAAAACTATAACTTTTCATTTAGTATTTTTAAAAAATTCGGAATTGTTAAAAAAAACATGAAAAAATTTTTTTTTCAAACTGCCGCCATTCAAACAAAAAATTTTTTTTAACTTATCCAAGGTTCATACGATAGCGGCATCTATAATAATTAAGAATCCATCTATTTTTTATGTTTGGGATCACCAGGAGGGTTGGAATCATGCACGCCAGAACACCCTCTTTTTTTTGAGCCCCCACTTTGACTGCTCATAACTTTGTGAATTCTAATTTTTTTTCTTTAATATTTTTTTTATGTAATTATAAAATATCAATAAACAAATGACAAAAAAATCGATAGTAAAAATATTATTTGTTTCCTTTATACAGCGCTTCAAAAACCGGGCAAAATTCATGCTTCTACAGTAGAATACCCCCTTAAACAAAAAATTCTCTATCAAATATCTCGTTCAGGTCTACGCTGCCTACGACACCGGCCTGGCAACGGGTGCTTCTCTTCGGCTCCGTGTCACTAATCGCACGAGCGCCGCAGAGGTCGTCGAGCTGGTCGTCCGCCAACTGCACGTCGCCAGCGTCCTCCGCGGCGGACGGGGCCTCCTTAACGGCAAGACCAACATCCCGAACACGTCCAGGGGACTCAGTCTGCCGGGAGATAAATTTCCTGCCACGTCCAAAACTCATCAGCCCCCATCTGAACTGACGACGACCACTACTACATATCCGACGAGGCCGACGTTTTTCACGAGCGAGCTGAAGACCAACAGGCCGAGTGGAAGTAAATTTGGTGCGAGTGCTGCAGGAGATGGTAAGAATTTGAATCTGAGCGCTCTGTCGGGAGGCGTTAAGGAGAAGGCTAAGGAGTTTTGTCTGGTTGCCGTTATCGGAGCCAGGGAGAGGAGGCTGAGAGATGATTTCAGGTAATTGATCATTGTAATTGATTCTGGAATTGTTTGTATATATTGTGTAAATTATGTGTGTGTTAGTTGAAATTTGATATTTTCTTAACGATGTTTTAAAAACGACTATACCGATTTCAAAAATTTAAAAATCATTCGATGTATCTCAATAAGGACATATTTGTTATATATATATATATATATATATATATATATATATAAATAAGTCGGGTTTTCCTTCCTGACGAAATAACTCCAGAACGCACGAACAGATTTCGACAATTTTGCATTCGTTGGAAAGGTCTCGGGCTCCACAAGGTTCATAGCTAAGAAAATTAGTGGTGCATGGCATGGTGCCCTAATGCAAATTGCTGGAACTTCACGCACCGTAATTAAAAATTCGAGTAATAACAATAGTGAAAATTATCAGAATTATGCTTGGTTAAGCCAACGAGCAATTCTTGCCGCAAAGAATAATGATGTACACGCACTGGATTTCACCATTCAATCAAAAATTGCTGGCGATTTGGTGACATACCAATGATTCCGACTGGTCTTCCGTTTGACTTCAAACGATTGCAATTTCCAGTTCGCTTTGCGTTTGCAATAACAAGTCGCAAGGCCATTCGCTTAGTGTTTGCGGGATAAATTTCAAATAGATTATTTAGAAAATCATTGTTTTTCGCATGGGCAGTTATACGTTGCCTGTTCACGAGTTGGAAATCCATCCGTTTTGTTTGTGTTAACGTCAGACCAAAAAACAAAAAATGTGGTTTACCAAAGAGCACTTCAATGGAACGGATAATTTGCGGATTCACTTTCATTTACTTAGAGAAGTTCAACTAAAAAACACTTCATTTTTGTAATCGAAATAAATTCATTACTGTTGTATAATAAAATCAAATTTTTTTTTTCAAATATAAAACAAACAAAAAATTTCTTCATCTTTCTCACGAAACCATCTGGTCGCGAAACGGAGTTCGTCGGGTTTGCTAGTATATATACGAGGTCTGTTCAAAAAGTTTTCGTAATTTTCGTTTTTTCAAAAAAATATTTATTTATTCGTCTACATTAATGTGGTCCCCTTCAAAGTAGTCCCCCCCAGATATAATACACTTATGCCAGCGTTTTTTCCAATTTTCGAAGCACCCTTGATATTCACTTTTTGATATGTCCTTGAGCACTCTCGGCGATTTTCTTCAATCGAGGAAAACCGCCGTCCTTTCATGGGTCTCTTCAACTTTGGGAATAGGAAAAAGTCACACGGAGCCATATCTGGTGAATTTTTGCACTTTGCAACACTTTATTTCATTTTTTACGCAAAATTTAATACAAATTCTTTGACTTTTTCAATTCTTCCATTGTAAAAATCGCCGAGCTCAGAAAAACACGTCGAACCTTAGCGACTACCACAGACAAAGTAAACAGTGAATATAGCTGAAAATTTCATCATACTTTAGGGGCATGTATACCAACACAATAAAAAAAAAAATTTGACAATCAGACACTCCAGACCCGCGAAATTTAATTATTAGTAATTCCGGGTACTTTTTGAACAGACCATGTATATATATATTTAATTTGAGTTTAATATTCGGGCGTAACATCAATAAAAATAGTATGAGAGCTTTTTAAAAAAGTTTATTTATTTAAAATCCATACGTTTCGGCTTGCATCTTAGCCATCATTCAGTGGTAATCAAATTAACTATAAAAATTGAAACTAAATAAATTATATGTAAGAAAATTTCATGGAAAAACAATAACAATAATAATAATAATAAAACACTTACAATTTTGTATCCTAATGTAGCATATGAAACCATTATTATTCCATGGTATGAGTATGTGCATCTTATCAATGTGCACATACTCATTAAGGTAATTTGATTACCACTGAATGATGGCTAAGATGCTAGTCGAAACGTATGGATTTTAAATAAATAGAGATAGAAAAAGAATTAAGTGTTCCTTCTTTGACTTGCTTTTTTAAAAGTTTCAAGTAACATTTGATAAATTAAAGTAAATTTAATAAAAAGTATATATGTAGTGCAGCAGAGCAAGGCACAAGAATTATTATTTCTCTTTTTCTGATGCCATTGTATACTGACTTCATGATTATGTCTTTTTCAAATGTTTATTTATTTTATAGTCACAATTTTAAACGTAGCTAAATTTAAATTCTTAGGGATTTATTTGTGTTTTAAGGCAAAACACCACTTGTACTTATTTTATGTATATATTAATAAATAATAATGAATATTATTATTTTTCAGGCCTTTGCAGTTGCAAGATCCTTGGATGAAGGGACGTCTGTACGTCCGACACAGAAAAGACACATTGGCTGCCATTGAACACTCCACTAGACATAAAGATGTTGTTTAATTTAATTTAGATAAATATATATATATAAGAATGATATACATACACATATATCATTTACCAAATTGTATATTTTCTAGTTATCAAGTTGAAAAGAATTTCTCTGCGATGGTAAAAGCAGCTTTATATTTATATAAATATTTGTACATATATATATATAAATGTCTTTGTAATGATATTTTATTATCATGGCACCATATGAGTGTGTACTTTAGAATCGAGCACAGTGTTTTTGAATCGTTTACTTTAATGAAATGTTTGTCCCTGAAAGTAAACCGACATATCTCTGTACCTCTAATTATCAAAATATATATAAATATAAATAGTGAACACAAAACTCCAATGTATGTGCATTTATTGTGTAGATGATAAAAATAATATATTGAGAAAGTATATATAGATATATACTCGTATATATATATAGATAAATAGTTGTAAGAGAGATTTAAGAGTTTGTGTTAGTAATATATATATATATTTATATATATATATATATATCAATTACCAATTTTATATATAAGAAATTGTATATCACCAATAGGGAACACACAGGAATTTGTCTTAAGTCTGTTTTTATTCTTTCGAACTAATTTAAAACTTTTTAATATTCAATGATATTAAAATAAATTATATATTATCAATACTTATGAGTCAAGACCATGACAAAACATATGATACGATATGATCTCCTTATCTTATCGATTTAGATTTAGTAAGAAACAGGTATTATATTATAAACATATATATATATATATATATATATAAATATATATATATATATAAATATATATATATATATATTATATATATATATATATATATCTGAAAGACAAGAATTTGAACCAAATTATTGTTAGTCTCAAAAGATGAAATTTGTGAATATGAATTTAGAGTTAGAGTCAATTAAATAATTGTTTATATATATATATATATATATAAACAATTATTTATCTATTAATTCCTTTACCCAAGTCTATTATTTTTTTAAAAAAGAATTAGTCAATAAATTAAAGAAAATGTTTATATACATATATAAACCAATAGGAGATGAAATTATTAATTGTTAACTCAAATAAAAAAACTATATCGCAATTGAATGTACCAACACCAGAATTTAGATAATAAATGTATACTGTATTAAATATTAAGAAAAGAAACTAATATATTTATATATATATATATAACAATGCTGGATAGTGGATCATATATATATATATATATATATATATATATATATATATATATATATATATATATATATATATGTGTGTAATAATTTCACTATCAAGTATAACTTTCTGAATTGTTAAAAGAGAGTTTTCGATAATATATAAAAAATTGTAATCCCTTTAAATGATAATTAGATGAAAATCCGCCCACTTTATAAATAAATGTAAAGCCTAATCAACACACCAATTATTTAAACAAAAATGTTATAATTCAATGTATATGTATAAATAAATAATTATATATCACTTTATATAATGTATAAAGTCAAATCCGTGGACTGCTATCCATGGATTTTCTAAACACATTGTACTCAATTTGAAAATGATGTCCTTTTTGCCGAATTTATAAAGCGATGTATAATTGTTTATGAAAATTGAATAGTTATTAAATGTATATTGAAAAATGGCCCACTATATATATAGATATTATAAAGATGATGAAAAGATATGTATATTTTGAAAAATAGAATATAAGTGAACGTCTAAAATTACTGATTTGTTTTATTATCTATTAATTATTAATTTATATATATATATATATATATATATATATATATATATATATGTTTTATTTTCAGTGAGCAGTATTTTTAAATTAAATGATTTAAAATATAAAATTGAAAGGTATGTTTTGATTAATAATTAATTATGATTATTAATTATATATATAAAATTATTAATATAATTAATTATATATACATATATATATATATATATATATATATATAATAATTATAACAAATTCCTATAAGACTTCCATGGCACACCTCTAATTATAAGAAATTTGTTTTCAAACCCCTAACAGTATATGCAACCTGTTATACGTCATATATACACAATACATATACATATATATATATATATATATATATTATATATATATATATACACCTCTATAATTATATGAGCCATATATAAATTCCTATAAAAATCTCATAGTCCACATGAGTCCTTTATAAATTTGACTTCGAACGCCTAGCTGTATATGCAACCCAACACACTCCATATATACACGATATATAATTATAAGGAAAGTCGCCATGTATATATATAAATCTCTTATAAATTTGTATGGACGATATATAAATGTGGACTGGGTTGGGAACGAGATATACGCGTTGTGCATGTATGAGTGCATTGAATATGTATGTAGTGGTGAAATCATGAATACGTGTGTAGTTTAGGGAATCCATCGCCAGTTATATATCAGTATATAGAGAAATAATTGCGAGCACGGACAACTTCTTAACAATTTTTAGGTGACTGTACCAATTTTATTAGGGAGTCCATGCCTTGCCTAATAACTATATGGGTGTATAAAGTAGTTAGTAGGATTTTATTGTTGACAAATAATGATTAATTTGACAATTTTAATTGATTAATTATTAAATTTGGAACAGATATGGCAAAAGCGTTAGGATATCTATTAAAACATTGAAAACAAATCCATCGATAGATATTTACGAATTTTTATATACACTTCTCATATACATATACACCTCTATAATTTGAATTATATGTGCGATATATAAATTCCTATAAGATTCTTATAGCGCTCGAGTCCGTCGTTTATAAACGCCTAGCTGTATATGCAACCAAACACACTCCATATATACACGATATATAAAATATAAGGAACCTCGTCATGCATATATATATATAAATCTCTTATAAATTTGTGGACTGGGTTGGGAACGAGATATACGCGTTGTGCATGTGTGGGTGCATCGAATACATATGTAGTGGTGATTTCATGAATGCATGTGTAGTTTAGGGAGTCCATCGCCAGTTATATATCAGTATATATAGAGATAATTGCGAGCACGGACGGCTCCTTAACAATTTGAAGCTGACTGTACCAATTTTATTAGGGAGTCCATACACTGCTTAATAAATACATTGAAAAATAGACAATACCGAAAAAAATAAATATACATAGACTGTTTTTAAGTCTTTATAAAATACAAATTAAATCATATACCAAATTTTATTAAATATACAAAATATATATAAAAGAAATTTATGCATTTTAATTTATATATTTATTTAAATCAACATAACATAGTTTACACAATATTTTAAGCAAATATATATTTAATACATATTACAACAATAATAATAATTTTAGGTCCAATTTTTATAAGTTTAAACATACTCAATTCAATTATATATTGCATGAAAATCAATTTTGACAATTTAATTATTATATTCATAAACTATTTGTTCAATAATTGCTAATTGTATATGTAATTTCATTTCTAATTATTATAAAAGAAAACATTAGAGAACAACCCCAAATACACGTGAAATTTTTAAATCATCATTTTGGGGTGTTCTGAGCAAAAAACGGACAAAATTCTCCCCCCTGGAACCCCCCGCTTGAAATCCGTACAACCCTAAAGAATTGTATGCCATCATTCTGCAACCCCTCCGGCAACTTTTTCAATTTCCAGTATTTTTTCACCCCCACATTTGCCAGAAATCCATTCTCAGTGTCATCCCATATAGTCGACGGCCATTTTGCATCTCGGTAGCCGAAACGGCTAAAGGACTTCACTTATTTCACCAGTTCAGAAGTCCAGACTGATCCAGTTCGAATCCAAGTCCTGATGGCGTGGTTTTAGTCCAGTTGTTCACATCAGACTGTTTGGGCTCCAGGAGACTTGAATGAAACTGTAAGAAAATAAACGATAAGTTGTGATTGGAAAATTAATAAGGTATCAAAGACAAAATAGAAGTCGTTATGAGAACTCAAACACATGTTTTGTGTAACAACTGAGTGGACAAGGTCGTTTAGTAGCAGTTGTTAGATGATGAACTCTGTAGTTCGAATCTCATTTGTTTTTTCATAAATAAGTACCTCAAACTAGACAAAAGACTTTCTCATTAAATTTTTTTCGCTTAAGAAATGAATAGCCGAGGTCGTTAAGTAGCAACAGCAATTATCCAGCTAAAATGGTGCTGTAGTTCAAATCTTCAAATAACAGATAAAAACTAGTTATATTGGAATGTATAGAACAGTGCAAGTTCGAGACGTAATAACGATATTCAATTTTCAAAAATCTTTAAATCCTCGTAATAGACAAAAGGCATTTCCATTAAAAATAGTTATTATCAAGCGACTAAATAGCCAAGAGCGTTAAGTGGTCGTCGTGGTAGTTGGAAGTGCGTAGGATCGATCCCAGAAGAAGTAAATCTATGTAGATGAAAAATAACTGGTGTAAAGTTTTTCAAAATGATCAAATGTTAGTTCAAAGAAATAAATTCAGATGGCGGATTGATTAAATTTAAATAGCTATAGTGGAGCGCCTGATGCAAAGGTCTTCGCAAAACACTTGGAGCTGTCAACCTTCAACAGTCCTTCCTGAATTAGACAAAAGCGTTTCCAAAAAAATTAGTCTTCTGTATCAATCGGATAGCCGAGAACGTTTAGTCGTCGACATCACGTTGACTGGGTGAAGGTGCCTCGGATCGAATCCCAAAGACTCGGGTAAAAAATTCGAATCCTAGTTTTTCGGAATCGGCAAATATTAGTTCAAAAATTCAATTGTAGAGGGCGCATTTCGACCTTGACACTTAGAATATTTCTGAAAACTCAAGTCTCGCACTTGACTGTAATAGAAATACATAAAGAGAGAGATGACGAAGGTAGAGGAGGAACTGGGAAAAGAGAAGGGTAGACAAGGGTGATGAATAAGAGAGATGTGTGTGATACATATTCTTTATTAAAATTCAATATTAATACAATATAGGAATAAAAATAACTTTTATCATCAATAACTTAAATAGCCGAGTGGTTTAAGGGACCGCATACTCGGTGAAATCGCTCTGGAGGCAGGCACAAGGTGAGCAGGATCAAATCCGGCTGAAGGCGACGACGAGCAACTCTGAAGCAGAAAAAATGGAGCAGTGCTGGTGAATGGCTGTTGGCGAGCGCAAAGGGTCCTGAAACGAACACACAAAGTGATGGTCAACCTGAGGTCCATGATGCGAGAGGGTTACACGCAGAGAGACACATTGCGGAAGATGCATGCCGAGCCCCCAAAAATCTACCCAGAAACCACAACATGCGAAAAAAACACCAAAAAAGAAAAAAAAAATGTGAAAAAAAGCGAAAAAAAGGGGAAAAAAAGGGAGAGAGGAGGAGGAGGAGGAGGAAGGGGGAGGTGGAGAGCCTAAAAAAAAAACCCCCTTAAGTCCCAGGTCAATTTTTATCTTTTCTGTTCAGCGTTGAAACTTTTTTATGTTTTTTAGTGTTCCCTCACACCAATTCCCAAAACCAACACTCGAATGAAATGAAGTCCACGTTGAAATTTTCACAACGAGAAAAAATTACTGGGACTTAGTTAAAATATTTAACTTTGCCCCAATAAAATTTTCTCGTTGTGAAATATTCAATGTGAGCCTCATTCATTCGAATGTTGGCTTTGGGATAATACAGCATGCAAAAATAACTCGTCTGTCTTAATTGAAAAGGTTTCAGAAAATTTGGACTTAGAAAAAAAAAATATCTGAAAGGACTTAGAAAAAAAAAAATTATTCGAAAGAATTATAATCAGAAAATTTGGACTTAGAAAAAAAAATTATTCTAAAGAATTATAATCAGAAAATTAGGACTTAGAAAAAAAAATATTCGAATGAATTATTAATCGATGAATTGAAATGATATTAAACGAATCAAAATTGTTTATACGACTTGATAAAACATGTGAAACCTTTACAATTAATCGAGACACAAACAAATACAGTTGACTTGAACAATATTCAAAGCATTGGAAAAAGATATAAAAGATTTCAAGAAAACTTATAAAATGAAATATTAAAAAATGCTCAGAAACTTGAAAACTGAATTCGTCGAACATGTTAATATTTATAAATTGAATGTAATAATTGAATCAAATATTATACTTGTACGAAATCAAACGTTGTATAATCATTCTTATCTTATTCAAATATTATACTTGTACGTTTTGTATAATCATTCAAGTCAACTCTTCGAAAATTTGATTGCATGTCTTGATCAAAATTGTTTTCAGCAATGAAATAATAAAAAGCTATATTTAGCAATGTACCAGTATCATCACATAAATTGAAAACAAAATTACTAAATTACAATGTAAGACTTATAAAAGTTGCATTTGATTAACAGTTTGGAAATTCGTAAGTATTTTGATCAAAACCAGCAATCGTGTTGTCATCAATGAGAATGTGCATGCAATCAATATCGCTACAGGGAAAACACATGACTCTTGATAATAGAAATAAAATTCTAAAATTAATGTAAAAATGTGAAAAATCTCTTCAGAAATGTAATAAAACAGAAAACAAAATCCCCAAAGTGTAGTAAAAAAAGATAATTTTGTAATAAGTAGCTTTTCCTTTACAAAATAGAAAAAAATCCTTGCTAATGTGGGATATTATTGCTGTTGAGATGCTATCTGATAAACAGACTCTTCAGAACTAGAGTTCTATCTGAAATACCATTAATTTAGGAGTTCCTCAAGGGTGTATGCTAGGACCCCTTCTGTATATCCTATACACAAATGATATTCAGACAAAACATTGGCTGAAGATACTACAATCATCAGGATAGCAAATTAACAATGATATGCATCAGCACTCGAAAAGTAGCTCAACAAATAAATGAAACCAAATCTAATCATATTAATTTTGCAACAAGAAATTGGAGAAACCTTTCCTCATAGTCTTATTTAAAGAATAATACTATATTTTGATTTACTATTTATGAAATTATAATAAAAAACTAATAAGTTTCAATTAATACATAAGAGAAGTAAAAACTATTGCATAATATTGATTTAAATAATTTATAAAACACACTTGCTGAAAAGTGAATCAAGATGTTTTCCCCGTAGTGAATTGTACAAAATCATTTTTATGCTTGTAGAACATCACTTGCAAATAATAATAATTTAACAAAGTGTATCTAATATATCAGATTGATATCACAAAATTGCAAATGATATTCGATATTTTTGCACACACGTCTGCTAAAGTAGTACTTGAGATAAATAAAGAATAAATTGTATTATTCCATCTTCACTGAAATTGCAAAAACAATGTTTAGTATCATGTCAATCATAAATCTTTATTAACTAAATTGTAAATCATATTATAATAGAATAAAGCAAAATGGGTTCAAACTATAGATGTAAGATTCTGTAGTAATATTACTATGTAATTACTTTAAATAAAAGAAATAAAAATTTAGCAGATGCATATGCATAAAATACTAATGATGCACGAGTCAGCAAATATTCACTGAAATACATACAGGCTGTTTTGATTTATACAATACAAATACAAGAAACTATTTGTTATGTGCTTGAGAACATTATCAGAGCAATATTTGTTGTACGATAAAATCCTGTATCTTATTCCAGAGAACTATTCATTGACACGTTGTGTAAAAAGATTGCTTCGACTCACATTGACGTTTCCACAATGATGCATAGAATTAAATCCAAATCTCCTCCTCATAATGAATCCTCCAAAGCATCTGCTAGAAGTTCCAAAGCCGAGCACTTGTAAATCACTACATTACATTACTTTGGACACTGACTTTATACATATAATTTACAATATGCAAATGTCCAAGTGGAGTCTTCGTGACTCAATACACGACACTTCGCGACGAACACATCAGAGACTTTTGTGAGAATTGGCGACTTAGAATTTGACAATATACAGATATATTACAAAAGTACTTGCAGCCTTACATACATCTATACATATTTGATATTTGCATATATGAATATATCATTATATAAAGGATACATTGGAAGCTGTAAATAAAGTATTTGGTTATAAAATTGATTGGAATTAAAAGCTGAGAGAGATAAGTTAAGGCTGAAGAACATTGTCACATATCTGATCTAAAAACATATCATCATACACGAATTTTATATCAAATTGATGTGCATAATTAGTAGAACCATTTAATGTATGAATTAATGGAAATTAATTAGGAGTTTAATTAAAAAACACTAATTAATTAGCGAGCACGCCTTTTTCACAAAAAACACGGTATAAAGATGGCCGCCAGAAAAGGCGAACTGTCATGAAGAAATGAACGAAGCGAAGTGAAGTGAAAGCCGAAAGCGCGAAATTCAAATTACATAAGCTTGAAAATATAAATGTTTGTTGTATTCATTGTAAACCTCCTATTTGTAAATGTTCTGATTGCTTTTTGGTGTCACTTCAAATGTTAATTATCTTGTTGAGGATTTTCATCATTTTCACAATCAACAGAAAATCCACAACTGGAGAATCTTCCTGCATAAGATCCTTTTATGTTATTTCTGTATATTGAATAAATACATTAATATAATGCAATATACTATAACAATTTATAATTCAATCAGATCAGATTATTAAGAATCGAAATCTTTTTTTGTATTGTTTCAATTTTTGTCTCAAACATATTACAAAACTTCACTTATTTAAATATTATTCATTATCACTATATTTTATATTTAATATTAAATTAATTTATTAATATAAACATTTTAGAATATATTTGTGTGTATGTACTGTCATGCAACACAACTAAAACTAGTAGTGTCGAAAATCAATGTGCATTCAACAATTTGTTTACTTGACATTTCTCCCGATTACTTTCTTTTAAATTAATTAAAATTTATTTACAAGAGAAAGAAAAGTTAATTCTTAGAGTCAGGACCTCTGCAGACATAGGATATAATTTGCTATCAATTTAATTTTGTTATTATTTATATTATAAAATACAAATTATTGGAAATCTTTCTATACTGTTTATTCGTTCTACCACAACTGAATTGTATTACTAAATTTTAATTGTTATAATTATTATACAAATTTGCTTAATTTTGTATATAACATTTAAAACAAACTAATTCATATTATAATCAAAGTACAGTACTCAAAACAACAACATTTTAAAAATCTGTGAATATAACTTTTATTAACAATGAATTCTTTTATATCCTCTGTATAATATAAAATATTAAATTATCAATTTTTTATAAAATAAACCAAATATATTTTACAAAAATATCACATTTATAATTATATTAAATTATTTTCACATAAAGAATTTAACTCGACACATAATTTATGTAGAGGTAACCCCACAACTGTAAAATAATCACCATCCATTTTTTCAATAAGACTAGCACCTCGTCCTTGGACTCCAAAGCTTCCAGCTTTGTCCCTAAAATAGAAAACCATAAAAAAATCTCAAAATTGAATTCTTTAGTATTTGAATTATAAGACTGTTATTTACATGGGTTCTCCTGATGCAATATATGCTCTTATCACTGCCGGAGTGAGTTTTCCAAAATGGACTTTGGTATTGTCACAAAACTTGACCGTTTTGCGCTGTGTTTTGATTACAACTCCTGTGTACACGGTACAAACTCTTCCCGACAACCTGTACAAATAATTAAGACACTAATTGAAGACTAATTCTATAAAAATTATAATTACAACCTTGATAGTGTGTTATAAGAGTCCTCTTCAGAATTGGGTTTACCAAAAAGCATACCGTCTAAAGTGACCATTGTATCAGCCCCTGATAACAAATTATTAAGGAAATTGAATGATAGGGGTAAGAGATTTGTAAAGGTAGGGCTTTTACCTATAACAACATCGGGTGGTGTATTTTGTTCACTTAGCCTTTGGAAAACTTCTTGAGCTTTACCGTGGGCAGTTGCTTGCACAAAATCTTCTATGCCTTTGAAATTTGTAGGAATCAGATTCTCTTCGAATGTTGAGGGGCATAATTCTACCTTCAAACCCTTCATGATGAAAATATTATCTAAATTATTATATTTTGCTTAAAATGAGCATTTTTAGTGTGATAACACTAGACAAATGCATTGTACCTACCAATTGTTTAACTAATTCTTGTCTCCTGGGTGATCCACTTGCTAAAACTACTCTTTTTGTATTTAAAAAATCTAAAACAGGCTCCAACATTTTAAAGGCCTTTTCAAATTGCACAATTTTTCTACAAAAGCACATTACACAAAACGCACATGTTTTGTTTTGACGTTTGACAGTTAAATGTAAACGCGTATCAATTGATGTGCCTAAAGGAAAGGGTGAATAAAGAAAAACAACTTAATTTGTAGAACAGAAATGATATATTACACTGGTTTGATTAAAGGTTTATTTACAAAAAAGAATGATTCAATGATATATGTTCAAGTTTAATGTTTGCTTGTCGATGTCTGGTCTTTGATTGCAATAATTAATACAATAATTAAATTTATTAGTTAAGTCTGTGAATTGTTCTTATGAGGATTGAGGTTATGTTGCCATTTGACAGTTCATAATCAGTTCAATCAAATGGCAATTTAAAAAGTTTAATTAAACAAAAATATATTTTTAAATTATATTTTTAAGGTATTTTAAATTAAATCAAATATAAAAAAAAATTGTCCATAAAATATAAAAAAATATCATAATTGCTGTAGTCAATGCAACTACAAGATAATAATTGAAAATCGTTCACATCTGAATATAAATATGTTATGTGACAATTTGATAATTTATATATTCACCTCCAACAAGTCCTTTAATTAGTTTTGATTTTTATTGATTAGTCAATTATAAAATGTCTTTTAAATTGTATATTCGAATGCCCCATCCCATAAAAGACGAAAACGAAATTAAACTTCTACATCCAGAAATTAAAAATGTATTCCTGTCAAGACGTAAAACAGCAAAATTTTGCTTTATTATATTCGAGGACGAAAATACATATAAATTAGTTATGAAAAATTTGCAAGGAGTTCGCATAAATGGCAAAAAATTAGTTGCGAAGAAAGCTTTGGCCACAGATCTAACAATAAGAAAACGCAAGAATAAACTTAAGCAGGCTTTTACAATTGATACTAAAGGCGATGCTGATGAGATGAATAGGAGTATGGATGTTAAATTTAATTCTGTGTATATAGAACAACGGTCAGTGGCTTCATCTGCACCACCAAAGGAAGAAACTGTGATCTACCAGAAAATGCAAAGTACGACTAAAAGAAAGACTATAACTCCAAAGCTACGGAGATATTTTTAAAACAAACTATTTAGCTTAATCCAATAACTGTTGATTTTTATATTTATTGAAATAAAATTGTATTTATAATACTCTTTTTTACTTAAAGGAGTATAATTAGGATTTTGTGACCGTGTTAATAATGATTCACAAATAAAAACAACAATGAAATGCAATTGAATTATATTATACAATTTTAATACATATTCAATTATATTCAAGGTTTTTGGGAATGTGTTAAAATTAAAATCACACTTGTCTTATATGTACAAAGATTTAATTAAATGACATTTGCAGGAAGAAAATGTATGACAATCTAATTTCTGTGTCAACCACATATATGGTGCTCGATATTTACACATTTACTAAGACTAAATTTTCAGTACTTATTTGCTATGACAAAGATTTGGTTGGTTAACACATCGTACACAATTATTTAAATAAAATAAATTAAGATGAATTTGTTATATACATACATTTTCAAAATAAATATATGCATATAAGATTTGAAATTAAATACACTCGCGTGTAATGTATCTCATTTTATGTATATAAAATACTATATATTTCTGATGTGGTCGGTATAAAATATACATACATAATTTGTCTTTCAAATTCTTATATTGTAAATATAAAACAATTCATCTAAAATTCAAGTTTAAAATCTTGCTAAAATTTCGGTATATTCTGCTTCGTCCCGCTGCTCTTGGCCAAATTCTGTATATCATCCAGGGTATTTTTAGCAGCAGTCGATAGATCATCCATTGACTTCCTTGCTGATGTCGAAATGTCATCTATTGATTTTTTGGTCTGAGACAAGATCTCATCTGTTGATTTCACAGCCGAGTTGGCGATTTCCTTAACTTCCAAATTGATTTTGTTTATGACCCATTCCATTGCCTGTCTGCCTTTGCCGGCGTTTAAGGAGATTTTGTTGGCTAAAAGATCCTCCATGTAGTGACTGAGGGGGACTCCTTGCACCGTCACAACCGCCTCTTGCTTCAGAAGTGTCCTGGGGGCAAAGGACATATTTAGAATACACATTTTGTTAAGGTAATAGTAATAGTAATAGATAAATGGTACCTACCTGTCGGGGTCTGTTGGATGTGGCGCGTATGTTAACCTTTCGTCTAAAGAAATATAACGACAGAAGGTTAAATTTATTGTTTTTAGTACCATGCGCCTGGATTTTGGATCGACTTCTGATTTTTCACTTGCATAGCACACATTTGCAGTGCCGATCAACTGCAAAAGAAAATTAGCTGTAAGTGGAATTCTGTCTTAGGGCAATTAAGGCATCGTGCCTTAAGGCAAATTGCTGGAACTTCCCGTACCGTAACGAAATGTTCGAGGAATATTGAATGTTTTCAAATAGATTATTATAAATATTGTAGCATTGTCTAATATTTATACCCAGTAAACACGCGATGTGATCTTCTATAATATCGACATCGTTATTATAATGCGGTTATCGAATCTACGCCACAAGAGGATTTTAAACTTGCGTGCGCTTGTGTGTGTTACAATACACGCAAAGCTCGCATTGAGTTGTCTCACGAGACATATACACGCGCTGTCGGGGGTAATGACATCGTTGAATTTCATGTGAGATACATGTCGTGCGCTGGTGTGTGTTAGCACACATGCAAAGCATAATCAATGACGTCACACGGCGTGAAGCAAACGCGTCGTGCGCTGCGTTGTGTGCGTTGTGTGCTGGTGTGTGTGACCATACAAAGAAAGCTTTACATCAGCGCGCCGTGGCCACTGGTGGAACCGACTGTTTCTTTGACGAAAGTTAACCTAACCCGCGTACAAAATGGCGCAAAATGTCACGAATTTATCATGCATCAAGTTATATTTTCTTTAGTATAATAATTACATTCGTTTAGTTAAGCAACTTGTTTATGATAATTGTAGAAAAATGACACCGTAAGTATATCATATATTATTTATATAGATATGTAATTACTTCACGATTTTGAATTCCATTTAGTGCATTATATCCTGGGATGAAGAAACGTTATTTTATGTCGATTTCTTTAGATGACAAAGGAGGTAACCAAATAGCATATCTTACAAAATCTGAGGACAATAATAAGGATCGTTTAGCAAGGTTAAAATAATTATTTTACTAAATTAAGACATTAACATATCCATGTGTTCGACATAACCTCACTTCTTAAATCTCTTAAATTAGTCGGTTGAGAAGCGGATCGAGAATGATTGTTTGAATATGTAAGTCACTACAAATATAATAGCTATACAAATATATATAAACAGCAAACACGTATGCCATGTTCATATTTATTTCAGAAGTCGTACAAAATTGGAATGAAACGATGAACAATATACAGATCTTTAGACAGGCTCAAATAATGTATGTTTAGGAGCAACTTGAAGATAATGGAGATTTATCTTCTTAATATGTAAGTTGATTCATATATAGTTGCTGTATATATATTATTTGGTAACAAATACATTATATTTATAATTGTTTTAGAAAACCTCTAAAATTGGGAACAGTATGTCATATATGCATGAACTTGATTGATGTATTGATGTATAATGAACTGAAGATAGAATGAATTCAATCAGGTTAAAAAAAATGTATGTGCAAAAGCGACTCGAAGACGATTTAGATTTGTCTCCTGAATATGTAAGTTGCTACACATATGGAGTGGTATATATATTATTAGATTCAATAAAACACATTATGTTTCAAATTGTTTTAGAAAACTTCCAAGAAGTACATCATATATGAATATCCTGTATCCTCGCATTTGATGTATTGAACTGGCGATAGAATGAAATCAGTCAGTGTTAAAAATGTATGTGTAAAAGCGACTTTAAGATGATGGAGATTTGTACACTGAACATGTAGGTAGCTACACATATGGTAGCTGTATATATATATTATATTATATACAGTAAATCACATTATGTTTGAATTTGTTTTAGAAAACTTCCAAAATTTGGGGCAGTATGTCATATGTGCATAATCTGTATCCTGGCATTTGATGCAATGAACTGGCGATAGAATGAAATAATGAAAAATAGGCAGGCTGTTTGATGTATAAGGAAGTGGCGATAGAATACTTATGCAAAACTTCACACTTCACGCCCCAAAAATAGAATTACGTTCATTAGATATACAACAATTTTCATTAAATATACTGTTATTAATATGTTAAGATTGAATAATTTGTAAAAAGTTTTCTAGTATAGTTCATGTTAAAATTTTATAATTTCAAAACTACAATTCTAATTTGTAATATTTAAATATTGTAAAATTTCTTATTATTCACGTAAATAAATGCTTATTCGTACAGAAAAGAATATTAATTGCATTACGTCATCACTTTCAGGTGCTATTACGTCATAACTGAGTCGCCATTTTGTATGACGTCATGACCGAATCGTTTTCATTCGCCAATGACGTCATGACTGGGGTGAACGCCTTACGTCAGACGGTCTTATCATAATAAACAAACATATGTGGGTCAACGTCGATTTTCATGTATCACGAACGCCACGTGCGCCAGAGACCGAACCTCGATAGTTGTTCGATAGTTACATAAATTTGCGGCCGTATCCATTAAATATCGAGGAAAATGAATATGGGAACCGCATGTCACACGACCTAAATAAAATATTGCCACGATGTTGTGGCCATATCGCATGTTTACTGGGTAAGAATTATATAAACTGAATTGCAAAGTTGAAATTATTTGTTTGAAGTATGTTAGAACTTTAGTCAGAATTAAAAATAAAATCTGAATTATTTTCGATATACAAAAAACTAAAAAAAAAAAAATTGAACAATTTTTTTTTTCCAAAATCAATTATTTTGTTAAGACAAGCAGAAAGTTCTTTGAATCATTTAAATCGGACGCTTAGTTCTCTCAAAAACTGCCATTTTTTACATATTTAGCTCCGTATCTTCAAAATGGCTGGGTCTGCCTTTGCCAAAAACTAATAAACACTTCTCCCAATCATTACTAATTGAATGTTTTTTAGATCATTCAAATCGGATACTCCGTTCTCTCAAAAATTCGATTTCTATTTTCTGCACTCTTTGTTCCGTATCTCCGAAACGACTGGACCTGCCTTTGCCAAAAACTAATCAGCTCTTTTCCCTATCAATAGGAATCGAATGTTTTTTGAACCATTCAAATCGGTTGATCCGTGCGCCCCAAAACGTGACTGGAAATTTGTATCCATACATACATACACACACACACATCCATTTTTTTCTGAGGTATGCCAAAACGTTCAGAAACCTTCAAAACGTCGAGAAATGTAAAAATTTTCAATTCCGATTTTCGGCCCATTACAATAACTTACCCTACGGGAAGTTAATAACGAAATTTAATATGCAAAAAAAATGAAACCAGGACGTATTTTACAATTTGTCCTAAGTGGCTTTCATTTCTTCTTGCTCTTTAAGGCAACTCGACAAATATAAATAATCGCGACCAGTTTTAGGTGACCAAAAATTACCGTATATTCTTTTGCCTTTGACTAAATTTGGTAGTAAGTTTTCAATATGAACAATCTTTAGTAAATTATTGAATTTAATCAGAAAATTCCACCACCAGGTGAAAGGGGATGAATTCTTTTCCAAAAATCCTTAAAAAATCGATCAAGTGATTAATGGACACCCCCTAAAACAGTTTGACGGCTATAACAGCGAAAAAGTAAATTGGTGGACAGATAGTCGTGTAGACAGGTAGACTTGAAGACAAGAAAACTGGTGAATTAGGTGAAAAAAATATGCACTTTTTTAACTTCCCGTAGGGTAGTTATAGTAATGGGCCGAAAATCAAAAATGAAAATTTTTGCATTTCTCGACGTTTTGAAGGTTTCTGAACATTTTACTGGCATACCTCAGAAAAAATGGATGTGTGTGGCTATGTGTGTTTTGTATGTCCGCATTTTTTCGTCCACGTTTTCGGGCGCACGAATCAACCGATTTGAATGGTTTAAAAAACATTCGATTCCTAATGATAGGGAGATGTGCTGATTAGTTTTTGGCAAAGACAGGTCCAGCCGTTTCGAAGATACGGAGCAAAGAGTGCAGAAAATAGAAATCGAGTTTTGAGAGAACGGAGTATCGGATTCGAATGATCTAAAAAACATTCAATTTGTAATGATAGGGAGAAGAGGTGATTAGTTTTTGGCAAAGACAGGTCCCGCCATTTCAAAGATACAGAGCTAAATGTGCAAAAAATGGCAGTTTTTGAGTGAACTAAGCGTCCGATTTGAATGATCTAAAAAACTGCTTTCTGCTTGTATTGACAAAACAAATGCTTTTGGGGATAAAAACTTATAACATTTTTTTTATTTCCATAGAATATTTTTGTAATTTTGGATTAAAAATTCTAAAAATTTAAAAAATTACCCAGACTAAGCACAGTCTAAGCGCCACTCTGGTACAAATGTTTACCCGATTGCGTTTAGACTGTTTATGTACTCGAGCACTTTTCCAATTTTGTGAAAAGAAAACTATTGAAAAATGTGAAAATGCCGCTAAGCTAAGCACAGTATAAGTAAAAATGTCGCACAGAATTATTTGCAAATGCATGCAATTTGTTTAGACTGTGACTATACGGGAGCACTTTTTCAATTTTGTGCAAATTAGGCAACTATTTCTTTTTTGAAATTGAATTCGAAATGAAATGACTATTAATGACTATTAATGTTCTGAAGATAAATTGATTTGTGATTTAAATTTGATTTGCCCAGATATAACAATAAGATAGCAAAAATAATGAAAGTTACAGTATTTGTAATAATATATTTGAAAACGTTTAAAATTTCTCTAATATTTCATTACGGTACGGGAAGTACCAGCAATTTGCCTTAAGGCACGATGCCATACACCACTAGTTCAAATTTTGAATTGAAAGTAAAACACGGCGAAGGGTGAACGGGTACAGTTAATATCTCATAATTTTAAATGGCCAGAAATAAATTATTTTCAGCAAACGATCACCCTTTTTATAAGCCTATAATATTTTAGGGAATTCGTTTAAAATTAGACAATGAATTTTCATTAATTAACTAATTTCCTTCGTTACACCGAAATCATATCATACGTGGTATCTAAGCGTGTTAGGTTTCGTTAAGGAAATATAAACAAATAAATCTATTTATTGTTTACATAAACAATTTATTCATCGTGTGTTGATGCATGCCGTTTTGTCAAGTTCAAATTGATTTAATTTTAATTTCGTGGCGAACGTGAAAGCCAAGGCCGGTTCTAATGAACTCTGAACATACGGGACGGCCGTTATCTCATCTTATACTATGATGACGAAACAACACAAATGACGGAAAAAAATTCTTGGACTCGATTCAAAATTTCAAACAGGCAAATAATGGAATAACACGAAATTAGATTGGCTCGAAATATACACAGGAAAATTTATGAATCATTATTTGGTAGTACGATCATAATACCTGTTGGGATAGGATCGAGGAGAAAGTTGATACAATTTGAATAACATCAAAGGAAAGCTTTAATTTTTACATATTTCTAATATCCTTTCCATGTACATAAATCCTTTGGCAATTTTCTAAAAACCTCAAAATTGATTTGGTACCATTGTTCTTGATTGATAATTAATGCAGGTTGAGACAAATATTAAATTTACTTCAAGGATCAAGAAGAAAGTTGATATATTATTTGAATAATTTGTCCATCAAGTGAGAGTTTAAATTTTTATGTATTTCTAATATATTTGTCCATAAATCCTTCAGTAATTTTCTAGAAAACCTCAGAATTAATTTGGTTGCATTGTTCTTAATTGATAATCAATGCAGGTTGAGGCAAATAATAAATTTACTTCAATTATTCTTTCACAAATGAAAAATTTACTGGTTAGTTAATGTAGCATTTTGTCTATACATATGCGTGTTTGTTGATTAAACAAAATACTTAAATGCTTAATCAAGCATCCATTCAAAATACAAAGAAAATTAAAATATGTTTCTTAAAATGATTTTAATAGATCCAAATGCTTCGAGTCCCAATTTAACTTTTACATAGTGGACAAAACACACAAATTATTAAAACAAACACAAATAAAAACATAATCAATGAAAATAATACTTCACAATAACCTTGTTTGTGAAAAAGAATAAATAATATATAATTTGAAAAAAAAAAATAAAAATAATGATTTGACTGTTGAGAATGAGTCAAATTGGAACGCAAAACATTTTTAATACTTAAAATTATTATAAGAAACTTATTTTAAATTTTTTCTATTTATATTATTTAAATGAATGCCTGATTAAGAAGTATTTTGTTTAATCAACATATTTATGACTATGTGAAAAAATAATTACATATGTAAATTATATATATAAATTTGTATTATTCGTATCAATTAATTATTAAACATTTAATTCGTTCCATGCAAAATAAAATTTACAACTGTATGTAAACGGGGTGTGTGGCATCGTGCCGTAAGGCAAATTGCTGGAACTTCCCGTACCGTAACAAAATGTTAGAGGAATACTGAATGTTTTCAAATAGATCATTATAAATATTTTAACATTGTCTAATATTTATAAGAATTATATAAACTGAATTGCAAAGTTGAAATTATTTGTTTAAATTATATTAGAACTATAGTCAGAATTAAAAATAAAATCTGAATTATTTTTGATATACAAAAAATTAAAAAAAAAAAAGTTGAAACAAAATTTTTTTTGTTCCAAAATGAATTATTATGTTAAGACAAGCAGAAAGTTCTTTGAATCAATTAAATCGGACGCTTAGTTCTCTCAAAAACTGCCATTTTTTGTATATTAGCTCCGTATCTTCAAAATGGTTATGCCTGCGTTTGCCAAAAACTAATAACAACTTCTCCCAATCATAAATTTAAATAATCTGCAATTGTTTCTTTTCATAGATCACTATTTAAAATTATTTATCATTTATAATTTAAAAGAACACTTGAAAATAAACATTGAAAATTTGATTCGATTAAAAGTAGCTAAATCTCAACTCTTATAGATTAATTAAATTATTGAAATATATCTCAAACTTCATTTTCATTTCATTAACACCTAGTTGACTCATATATTTCTTATATAAATCCAACTAGAATTCGACTTTAAACCAATTTGATTTGACTTAACATATTTTATCTAATAAAAATAATAGTTTCACCTACAAAACAAGTTGCATATGCACAATTATAAAATGAATAGATAAACCACTAATTAGTTATAAACACCACACTCATTATCTATCATTATATACGTGTATCATTAATTACTTCTAAAGAATGTGTGTATATATAAATATTTCTTTTATTTCGACTCACAGCTTGTGCCCATTTAGGAAAGTACCATTTTGAACTGACTATCCTGTGCGTATGCAAGACTCCATTTACAACATTACGTTCAACAACATCAGTCCCAACAACAGCTGGATTCATGGGATTCGGGTACTTTCTCCATGCCGCTTGGGCTACTGTTTCCCAAGGGTGACTGAAAGAAAAGGAAGGTATTGAGAAATTTGACAGGTATGTTGCATCAAGTAATAATAAAAGATTAGGCTTATGAACTAAATTGTTTTTCAACTGAATATTTTTATTTCAATAATGAGTTTATTTATATCAACACTTTCTTATTTACAATGAATTAAACATTGGCAACAACTCACTTAAAAATATGTTCTGACGTCCAAATTTTCATTTTTTTTAAATTTTTGTTATTGTTTTTTTACTTGTAATTTATACGTTTTTACTTCTATATTAATAAAATTGCAGGCAGTCGCCTGTCAAAATTAGTTTCTGAAAAAATCGACTTGACAAGTCAGATGAAAGTACGAAAAGAATTTAGTGGCAAGGTTATGCAAGATGCGAACTTGCACAAGTGTTGCCAGATTGGTGGAAATAAATCTTCTTGACCGATAAGTTTAAAATTGTAATTCAATTGAAGTTAGTTATACAGTAACAAGTCACTTATACGCGTAAGATACATACCATAAAAGTTATAATTGTAATTGCAGAATAATGATAATTTAGTGCAAGTGATTAAAAATTACAATAATCTATTATTAATAATTCAAAATTTATCACGTTGCTGTCAACGTGGCTTGTCAACAAATTGCAAATGGCGCCCTGTTTTTGTGGCTGTCAAAAATGTCTGTGACAAATGCAAATTTGTGCATTTAAAAGAAAAACACAAAAATAAACAAAATCAAGACATATAATAATTAGTTTTAATTAAATCATTCTCTTGTACGTAACAATGGGGTTGTGCAAATGTCCAAAGCGACGTGTCACCAATCAATTCTGTTTCGAGCACCATGTAAACGTTTGCGAAAATTGTATGGTAACAAATCATTCCAAATGCGTTGTCCAAAGTTACATCCAATGGCTACAGGACAGCGATTATAACGCCGGATGCCAATTGTGCAATTCCGAAATTACAAACGACGATTTTGTACGGTTGACTTGCTATCATGTTTTTCACTGGTCGTGTCTTCAATCCATGGCAGGAAGTTTGCCCCCGAATGTGGCTCCTGCAGGATACCGATGTCCACAGTGTGGAACTGGTATTTTTCCACAACCTAATCTGATATCACCTGTAGCAGATATTTTGAGAGGAAAGTTGGGGTTGGTAAATTGGGGACGCAGTGGATTGGGACTTCCTTTGTTGGCTGAAACAAGAGATCCACCAGATGGATGTAAAGTTTCAGTTGATTTTGACACCAATATACAGTAAGATTATAAAAAATGATTCATGTACAAATAATTTTGTTGTGTTAAATGTTTAACTGTTTTTTTTACAGAAATAGTTCAGAGTATTCAAATTCAAAACTACAAAGCAATAACTTGCGCAGTCAAAACACCAAACCAATAGTCCACTCTTCAGATAATTTAAACAACACGCAACACAATTATAGTAATTTTTACTCTGCTAACAGCCAAATGAGGAGATCTTCGAACCGACCAACACCCATAGGAAGAGTATTAGATTCTGATGATGATAAATATAACGTAGAAGCCCCAAAGAAATGCTGACAAGATTTATTAACAGAGCCGCATGCTTTTCACCAGTCAAAAAGCAACGGTTTCTTACATTTATTCTTGTCATTATTATTTTTGTATCAGTCATTATGATTCTAAAAGAATTGAGCCACAGGAGCAACACGGATGACGGACAGTTTGATTTGGAAAATGAACCAAAAGTTGTTGTTGGTGATGTGTGATAATAGTAAGACGGGGGAGTGCATGAGTATTAAAGACAATGAGAAGGATTTAATTGATTAAACAGCTATGTAAAATTTATATTTGAAAATATATTTAGTTTGTATATAAAGGATTAAAATTGTATTTATAACACTGTAATAAAATTTAATGGACTGATAAATGGATTTAGTAATATTCGAGTACGCTAATACTTGAATAATTAACTAAAAGCATCTTATTTGCAGCTGCAAATTTATTTCATTACAAACAAATATAGCAAGAAAAGCATATAGCAATAAGAACAAATATAGCAAGAAAAGGATTTTTGAGAACTAGAGAAAATGTCTTTTATAAATGGACCAAAATGGACTAACAACAAAAATCAAAAATATCATTACAACCTTAGGTAAAGTTTGTTGTTAAAAAATAGCCAAGGATTTTTGGAATCAAGAGTCTTTCAGGAACTGTTTAAATTAAAAAATAAACATTTTATTGAAAAATCCTTGGATAAATATTAAAGGACACAGTTTAAAAGAGGCTTCAACAAGCACTAAAATGTAATAATGATAATATTGATAATTTCTTTATAAACTTTAGAATAAAGTCACATTTTTAAGACACCATTGCGACTGCTGCATCAATATGATTCAAAGGAGCTTTAAAAGCTAACAAGCAAGAGAAATTTTCAAAGTTTTTTAGAGCAATTCATCTGAGCTTTAACCAAATGCTTAAAAAACAAATTAAATTGATGCTTTTATAAATTTGTTT